ATAATTTTTATTTGTTGTAGGTTCATTTTTGAATGGTTGATCATGGGTACATAATGTGGAAATGATTAGTTAAAAAATATATATATTTCAACTTATGTTTGGCTTAAATAAAGGGACATATTTGGCTTATATCGGTATTGTGAAATTTCAAAAATTCACATGGAGCAACAACCTTCAGCCAAAAAGCTTGTCGAATGGGAGTTTAATAATTATTCTGTAAAATCTCGTCGAGAGCACAACATCAGTGAATATTTGAAAAAAAAAAATTATGTGATTATTGTGAAAATGAGTATTAAAATTCTAGCCCAGTATACTCTTAATTTCTGGATCTGTCCCTGCCCTAGGCGACATGGAATCACTAAGTAAGTCCTTTCTCTTTTTTTCTTTCTTTTTTTTTTCTTTTTTTTTTTGTATGTGATTTAGGTATAAAAAATTTCATACTTGTTTTCTCATATAAAATATTGACAATTCAATTGATTAGAACTATTGAAAAAACATCTTCTTTAGTTTCAGTTTCCTGGCATTTTAGTTTATGTTTTCTGACTATAATTTTGTTTTATTACATACCTGTTCTACATGATTTTGAATGTTATTTTTTAGTGGACATTTCATATTTGTTGGTTTCGTACCTAGGATATTTATATATATAATTCTTTCATGTGTTAGTTTATGGTGTTTCTTTTGCTCTGTTTTCATTATTTTTATTATTGGCTATAGTGTTATTTAAAAAATAAATAAATAAATGTTTCTGCACATTTTTTTTTATTGGCTATTTTTTAGGAATAACCGAAATCAATCGAGATGTTCGAGTTGATATATCACCTGGGTCAACTCAATATTACACTCCTTTATGCGATCATGATTTGAAGCCCTTTGTTGGACAAGAATTTAAGACGTTAGATGATGTCTTCAATTTTATAAGAAATATGCAGTTGAATGTGGATTTGACATTCGACGTTCACCATTGTCAAAGTCAAATGATGGTGTTTGCATTAGGAGATATGTTGTGTGTAGTAGAGAGGGTGTGAAGAATTATTTATTAACTAAAGATGCGGATGACTTGGGCAGTGCAAAGGAAAAAAGGCGTAGAGTGTCTAAACGTGTCAGTTGCAAAGCTCGGGTGTAAGTTTGTTAGCTCTGATAAATATATTGTTGATAAGTTTATAGAGCAACATGCTCATTCTTTATGTACTGAAATGTACAAGCACTTTCTTAATGTCAGTAGGAATATGGACATTGGACATCAAAAGTTTTTGCTTAATTGTTCCCGAGCGAATATAGGGCCAACAAAGTGCTATAGATTGTTTAAAGAGACTGTCAGGGGATACTCAAATGTGGGTTGCACCAGTGTTGACTTCAAAAACTTTTCGAGGGATTTAAAGGCATTCGTTGTTGGTGTTGATGCTCAAACGGTGATAGAGAAATTGTACCGTAAAAAGGAATTTTGCTCGGCTTTCTTTATTGATTATGCTATGGACGGGAATGATCAGTTGACGCGTTTGTTTTGGGCTGATCCTATTTCGAGGAAAAACTATGCTTCTTTTGGTGATGTTGTATCTTTTGACGCAACATACTCTACAAACAGGCAATTATTTATATTTTATAAATAACATAATGCTTATCATCATATATATTCACAACAACTTTTTTATTTTCACTTTAATTATGTTGCTAACTTTTGACAAACATTTTATTTGCGCAGGTATAACATGATATTTGCTCCATTCACTGGCAAAGATAACCACGGTAAATGTGTTACATATGCTGCTGCCTTGCTCTCAGGGGAGGATGTTGAGTCATATATTTGGGTGTTTGAAAAATTTAAAGAAGCAATGAGCCGTAGTTCTAACATGATGGTTACAGATCAGGACCCTGCAATTAAGATTGCTGTTGAACGTGCACTTCCAAATACTAGACATCGCATTTGCATGTGGCATATTATGCTTAAAGTACCTGATAAGGTCCCAAGTCATTTGAAAAAAGATGATGGCTTTAGGAAAAAGTTGAATAATATAGTTTGGTCAGAATCTATGGGGCCATCAGAGTTTGAAGCTCAATGGAATGATCTTATTGATGAGTATGACTTGAGAGAAAATACATGGTTTACGTCTTTGTTTTCAATTCGCCAGTTTTGGATTCCTGCTTTTTTAGGGACTTCATGATGAGTGGCTTATTCAAGACGACATCTATGTCTGAGAGTGAGAATAGATTTTTTGGAAGATACACTAGTCCCCGTTCTAATCTTCTTGAATTTTTCATGCATTTTGAGAGTGCATTAGATGCGTAGAGGCATGCACAGGAAAAGATGAACAGTGGTGATGAAATGTGTGTTCCCCAGCTTAGGAGGCCCTTGTTATTTGAGAGGCATGCTTCTAATGTGTATACTTTGAAGATTTTTGAGGAGAAACAGAATGATATTGTAGCTGCATGCTTTGAATGCCGAATATTGACTCTTGTAGATGATCCTGATCATTGTTTCTATGAAATCGAAGATGTCACTTACGGTGCATGTGAAGTTGTTTATGACAAATCACAAAACACAGCAACTTGTAGTTGCAAGAAATTTGTGCGGGTTGGATTACTATGCTGTCATGTTTTCTATGTGTTTAAAGATTTGAATCTCCAATCAATCCCAGAAAAATATTTGGTTCCTAGGTGGACAAAATATGCATCATTGAAGCCTATATTTGAGGTTCATGGTCAGATTATTGATCAGTGTGCTATGATTGAAGAGCGGAAGTCAATTATGAATCAGTTGTTCTCGGAGTTCTGTTCTTGTATTGGGTTAGTTGAAGGAAATAATGATTTCATGACAAGTTTGCTACATTCTCTTAAGAATCAGAGACATATCTTTACCTCTGGTGTAGATCAATCTTCAGCAACTACGTCCAAGAAAAAGTTGTTTGAGGATTACTATGGAGGCTCTGTTCCACAAAAAGTACAGGTATTGCCACCGCTTCCTATTAAAACAAAAGGGAGTGGTAGTTGATTGAAATCAAGGAAAGAAAAGGCAATTGAAAAAAGCAATAAGCCTTTGAGAAGATGTAGTAAGTGTCGTCAGAAAACGAATCATGATGCAAGAAATTGTGTGAAATCATAGATTTTTTTCCTTTTGTCTTTTATGAGGAATACTATGTTGTATCATCTTGTCTGTTTCTAATGACCCTTTTTTATTTCTCATTTTTTAGCATCTTAATATAACCATGGTTATCTACATTGTGACTATAATTTATTGTACATAGTAAACTGTTGCTTCATTTTCTGTACAATTAAGGATTTTTTCAGACTTTGTAATGCATTTTTTAATTTTTTTTTTCTAAAATTTGTTCATAATATTAAGGATTTTTTTCAGACTTTTGTTGAGAATGTTTAAAAATCAATTATCCATATTTTATAAATAAGTGTGCAGCATTAATTTATTTCTAACTTTTGCTTTCAACATCTTCAGGGCATATTAAAATAAAATAAAAAATAAAAATAAAAATTGTTCCTAGTTTACATCTTATACAACAGTAAAATAATATGTGAGAGCATGAAAACAAATGTGATATGATAAAGGTAATAATTTCACATGGTCCATAGCATAATCACCACTTTTATTAAAGTTTATAATATCACACAAAAACACAACAAATATATTATATTATCACAACCATAACTAGCATCCATTGTTTAAAACCAACAACAGCAAACGATTATTCTTCATATTCTACACTGCTCATTTATCCACGGCGGAACTATATCGACCGAACTATCCTCAAATGACAATTGGTAGTGCATGTCTGCAGCAGACATATTCAAATGCTTGAGCATATTATTTTCAGCTGCTAGGATGGCAGCACAATATTTTCCTCTCAGAAACTTCAACTGTGTTTGGCAGTTCATTTTTATGCCAAGCTTCCAGTTTTCTACCGCATTGCTTATATGTGTTTCCATGAGTCGCATCATACATATCCCGGTGTCTTTCTTGTGCATTTCTTCTCCCCATGACATCTTAATCCTTTCAACTTTCATATTTCTTATTGCTGCGGCTTTCTCTATTAAGCCACAATGGTCCAAATATTGAGATAACATTCTGCCCTGCATTTTAAAATAAAGGCATATTCTGTTAGTTAATTTCAAGTATGTATCAAAATATTGTTCATTTATATAAATTATTTTTACCAGTGCCATTGGAATGACATTGTATTTGACAACAAGTGAATTGTCCACCATGTCACACAAACAATAAAATTACAACAGAAATAACATTTCACCATCACTCACCCATTAGTGTTTCGCCACGTGTAACCAGCTGAAACTTTTTTGGGACAACGTTCTCATTTTCTTTTCAAAATCTACAAATTTCCAGAGTCTATAAAAAGTGCGAGAAAACCCCCTATACTCTTTCGAGAAGCCATGGAAGCTGCTACACAGATCGTATTGCTCATGCTCTTGTTTATCGCCACAGTCGTTCCTCTTTCCGTTTCCGGAGAAAATTTTGACGTCTGCCGCCATCTATCCACCGTTACTAGGTCTCTCTCTCACTTCTTCTCGCTCTTCAATTTGTAGGATGTTAATTTACTGGAATTTAATCAAAATTTGCAGTGTATTCCATGGTGTGTTTAATTAGAAGCATAAAGTAATTGCGGCGATTTTGTTTTTTCAAATTTTTTGGATCGAGTAATTTTTTCTAAGCTGATTTGTATGCATATCTTCGTCTTCTATGCAGATATCAAGTCGCTAAGGATATTTCTGAAAATTCATATATTCCTTCAACAATTCCTGATCAGTGTAGGCCTGTCCACTTAAATCTTGTGGTAATTCTTACACAATTTGTTTGATTTGAGTAATTAGTAGTGGCTTATTTGTTCTCTGATCATGCCTTGGTTATATGGTATATATGAAGAAGTGTTTTAACCGTGCTGTGGTGGTTTTAAAGTTATATTTGTGGAGATTCTGATAGCACTGAATTGGTGGGAGATTAGTTGTAGTTCGATTTTAAGTGCTTTAGTAGTTTATGTGTATTGAAACTGCATGGGAATAGTATAGTTTCTGTAGTTGATTTGTGGATATCTGATCATATATGCTCATTTGCTTGACCAATCTAAGGTCACATGTCATTTTGCCCATTATCTGACTTGCTCTGTTGATGGAATTTATAATTTGTAGGTTGTAAATCTTTGTTTAAGAGACTTTAGATCCATCATTAATTAATGATTTTTTTTGCACTCTCCATGTTGTTTTGTCATATGTCTGCACTGTGCCACAATTACTCGGTCTGATGATTCAGTTGGCAGGCAAGGAATGGAACTCGAGCTCCTACCAAGAAAAAGATGAAAGAACTTGATTCCTTGTCCACTCGCCTAGAAGTCCTTTTAGAAAATATGTAGGAGCAGAGTGTAAGTGTGGTTCCTGCATGGCTACGTGGATGGAAATCTCCGTGGACAGGAAAGTATAAAGGTGGAGAGTTGATAAGTGAAGGAGAAAATGAACTGTATGAACTTGGTATCAGGACCAGAGAAAGGTTTCCAGAATTGTTTAATGAGAATTACCATACTGATATCTATCCAATTAAAGCCACTCAGGTTTTATTAGTTGTATTCATTTTTCATACGAGGAGGCTTTTCCCATCTATTTATGTCATGTCCCGTTTTCGTGGAAAGTCACTTGAAAATTTTTTCAGGGCTCTTTTCCTTAAATTGCATGTTGTGATTCGCAAGCTGCCAGTTCATGTTAATCATGTGTCCATGTATTGTTATTTTTGGTACTGGTTAGATACTTTCTAATTCTATCCATAGCTTGAGTATTTTGATTGGTAGCTTACCCGTGCTAGAACTTTTGTTTGTTATGGATTTATTAGATTTCAGGAGCCTCAGCTAGTGCTGTAGCTTTTGGCTTGTGCCTCTTCAGCGGTCGTGGAAATCTTGGTCCGGAACGTAATCGAGCTTTTGTAGTTACCAGTGAAAGCCGTGCAAGTGACATAATGTTGAGATTCCACGATTGCTGTCAAAACTACAAGGTAAAATCACTTCTGAAGAGTTTGTGGGAATGCATTATTGGTGTATGCCTCTATTACGTGCCTGCTTATAGTACTGGTACATGTATGTGTATGTGCAATTGATCCATCTGACTTCTGAAGAGTTTGTGGGAATGCCATATTTGTGTACGCATCTGTCACGTGCGTGTTTATATTGCTTATATTACTGGTACTTGTACCTGTGTCTGGCACTTGGTCCACCTTCCATTTCCTTAATTAAGGACATCAGCATACTTGCTTCCATGAGTTGTTTTGGGCTTTGTCCAGCAGATTGTTCTTAGATGTATAGAAATTACGGTGTTCAATTGTTCCATTTCCTTTGCGCACCGCCGCCTGAGCAACTTGCATAAAGCGCACGGCGAACTTCCACTACCCATTAATTAAAATTATATTTAAAAATAAATGTTATTAAAAGCAATTTAATCTAAGGGGAAAATTAGAAAAGGGAAAAGTGTGAAGCTTAAAAGAGAGTTTGTGAGTAGGATATATGTTAGAAGGATTAATGCAATGGGAGATAGAATTGGTGTGTATTTATAATGGTTCGAGAGAGTGTGCATGTGAACTCAAATTGCATCACCACATGAGTTTAAAGAAAGATTGAGGAGTGATTAATTAATTAATCGATTCGATTGATTGTTTTAGAATATGTTGTGTGTTTGTACTACGTGTAACGTCGCACAATATTGAAGCAATAGTTTATAGGAGGAGAAAAGCAAGTCTAGCTCCTAATTTGAGTGTTTAACTAAAAAGTCACATCTTTTTTTAAAAAAAAATGTGTGAGGCAGTTTAATAGATAAGTCTAGCAATGTTCGAATAATTTCCGTTCAAATCGAAATATAAATTTTGATTTTTTTAATGTCGGTTATCGATTTTTATTTTTGAAATCTCAGTTATTTTAGTTCAATTTTAAAAATAACCGCCGGATAACATTCCTAGTCAGACGGATTGATTCATTATATATATATATACTATACTAAGAAAATATTGTCTTTATGTTTGTGTTATATTATTAGAGTATGTCAATTGTGAATAAAAATATAAATTTTCATTAAAAATATAATTGTGTAACGATTAAATGTGATTAATAGCAACTTTTTACCACATTATTTTGAAGGCTGATGCTAATTAATGTGGCCTAGCTCCCAATGGCGAACTTGATCGATCAAGTGACTTTTTTAATAGACAAATTTGAGGGATTATAGACATCTTTTGACCTAATATACAATACAACAAATACACGGATTCTTCTTTCTCACATATGAAATTGTTTGATTGTGTATGCGTTTGTTTTGTTACTTCCATATTCGAGAAAAATGTTGGAATTTTGATTTAAAGTTGTGTACTTTAGCTAATTTTTCGAGACTACATATTTAATATTGAAATGGAACAACTATAATATTATTGTATTGCGATTATATGATATTATAGTCAATCAAATGCCTGAACACACAATTTTGAAACTAAAAAATTAATAACACAAGGATGTGTGCTTGAAATAGGCATAAAGTGAAGCGCAATCAAAATTCATCCATATATATTATAGAAAGCTAAATTTATCCTAGTATTTGTAAAATTTACAGGTGGAGAAAAATTTATATTTGGTCTACTAAATTTATCCATGTTCGAAAAAGTTACATATGTTATTATAGTATGTACAGTTAATTAACTTATCAACTTTATTAAAAAAAAAATCCGTTAGTACTTGATCAAATAGACAAAAATGGAACATCAAAATAAAATGTACCAATGTCGATAGCATACACAATAATATTTTTTACCGAGTGACTAATTTAATTGGCCAAAAATAAAACTTTATCCGTATTGCAACTTAAAATATATACTGCAATACAAAAGATATATTTCTATATTATTGTGGTACATAGTTCAAAATTTGATATCGCTAAAGTTGAACTATACTCTAGGAAATTTAGACAGGATTTAACACAAAAATTTGCCAGAAGAGATTTTCTTTCTAGAAATCCAATACCAAAAGATAAATTCGTTGTGTTGTCTACTACAATCGAATGGTGTTGACTTTATAAATGTCAAAATTTGCAATATTGATATTTTTCATTAACTAGACTTTAGTATTGCTGACCGACGTCCAAAATCACATGACGTGTAAGATAATGTTGTAAGTTACATAGATCTGTATTGAAAATATATGTATATAAAAATTTAAAATTATTAATTCAATGGTTCTCATTGGCCTGTAAGATGTAAGGCTTGTCAACAGTATGGTTCACAAGATAGGTTGTGATCTCACCCTTTTTTTTTTTTATTTATTTATCAATATATGTGAATACAAATTTATTAAGAGAGGAAAATTCCAATAACAATATTTTCCTACAGTATTCTAATAAATATTTCAATAATATGACTTCTGATGAAAATAATTGTTAGTTGTAATTTTTATTGAATTTAGACGATTCTAACGACTGTTTTTTTTACCGGTTGAAATCCTTGCCGAGAAAATAATTCGAAGAAAAATTTATAGAAACAATAATTTTTTGGAACCATCAAATTTCGAACTAAAATACCAAACAAAATTTAATTTCACCGGCGGAAAAATATAATGTTGACCTTAGTTGGAAATTTCATCGGAAGTTATTAACATTTGTAAGATTTAAAGAATTGGGGCAAGAGGGTGCGGTCCCACGCAGATGGAGCGCACCATAAGAGGATGTGTCTAAGTGCATAGTGAGGTTCCATCCAAAACCAATTGGTTATTGGAAGAGTAGCTCACTAGACATATAAGCTAGGTCAATTTTCCCTATAGAATCAATGTGGGACAACTAACAAGTGATATTCCAACACGTTTGAATATATAGGAATTTCATTCAGTATATTTGAATTTTCTGTTAGAATTTTTTTATTTATTTAATTTTGTGACTGTTAAATTTTTCTGTGTTTAAGAAGGATAAATAATGGTATGATTTTTTCACATACAGTTATGTAATATTTTTTTTTTTACAAATAGAAATACTCTATGTAAGATAATATATCATGTATATATGTTGAATATATATATGTATTATGCAACAGTAATTACTCTCAACTACTCGAAAGAATCTCTCAATAACCTTTTGTACTTAGTTGAGTTACAATTTCAAAATATATAATTAAAAGCCCATTTAGGAGCTCCATGTAATTAAACAAATCTCAATAAGAAAATTTAATGCAGATTGCAAAGTGTTGACTGCCGCCAAAATAATATAATAAATACAGTATGTTGTTTGTCTATACGACTATACATAAAATATTGTTTGTGTGTTATTTAATTCGTTGCTAATATTTTATTTGCATTATTATTAAACTGCTCTTCACAAAGCTTATGGAAGACCCTAGTCTACACGAAAAAGGAGCTCAACAACGTGAATGTTTGTTAAGGCAAAAACATTCACGTGAATACGCACGCGCGCATTGATCTTATGGTCTTTGGGCCCCAAAAGATGTGCAAAAAATGGTACTAGCATGATTTAATTTATTGATGTTAAAACTTAAAAAGCGACTTTAGTCGTCCAAACACACACAAAAAATTTTTGGCATGCAATTAGTAAATAAATTGGATGGGGTCCTCCCATATGCTTTATAATGTATTAAGTTTTTATAATAAATAAGAGCAGTAAAATATTTGTGGAATATACTAGTGTTAATTAAAAAAATATATATATTTAAAAAATAATAACAAAGAAAAAATGAGTTGGATTTTTTAAATGCCTTTTTTAACTTTTTATTAATATAATTTTATTATATTAAATTTTTCTGACTCATGTCGCATAAGAGACCTGATAGATAATTTTATTTTAGTTAAGATCGGTAGCTAATTTAAATTTTATTTAAATACGTATATTTTTTGTTATTATATATGCAATATATATGTCATATAAAATGTGGTCATAGGATGATTAACTTTTTATAAATACATAAAAAGTAGATAAGAAATAAAAAATAAAAAAAAAATAAAAAAAGTTAATAGATTTTCAAAAATATGTGTAATTTAAGTTGACTAATAGTTTTTGAAAATATATAAGAACCAAAACAAAAAGTTACTAGGTTTCAAAATATGTATAATTTTAGTTGACGATCATAATAGATGTGAATAAATTTTATATCCACATGAACTACTTTCAACCATTCAAATTTGACATGGGTTACAAAATACCAGTGTTCTAAAAGTCGCTAGGCGCCCGCTAGGCGCTCGACCAGTGCCTAGTCAGGGCCTAGGCGGCGCCTAGTCGGGGCCCAGAAATCAATAGTAAATACCTTATTTTTTATTTATTTTAACTACCTACAAAATAAAATTATCTCAACATATAATAAATTCACACACCAAAGTCTAAATAATAATATTAATATATATTAAAGAAAACATGAGAACAAAATAATGTAATTAATATTTAAAAAAATAAAAAAAAATTAAAAAAAATTTGAAAAATTACCGCCGAGCCCGCCTAGGAGCGCTTAGGTCCGCCTACGCCCGCCTAGACGCCGCCTAACCGCCTGGTCGTCGAGCCCGCCAAAGCCGCCTAGGAGCGCCTAGGGCCGCCTAGGCCCGCCTAGCCGCCTGGCCGATTTTTTCTGCCGATTTGTATAAATCGGAGGCGCCCGGGCACCGCCTAGCGCCTAGGCGCCGCCTAAGCGGCCGCCTAGGCCGATTTTTAGAACAGTGCAAAATACTATAAATCGATGCATTCAATTGAAGCACACAAGTTAACACTTAGCAAATAAATTAACACTTAGATATAGTGAGGGATGGACTTATGTACCTTACTAGAATTATGGTCCGCTTGTCAAAACACATTTTACAACCTGAATCATGTTTTTAGCTATACACTTCATTACAAAAAAATTGTTATATTCCAACGAAAAATGTTATAATAATATATTCCAGTGGAAATTCCCACGAATATTCTAATGGTATAACTTCCGTTGGAATATATTTTTCGTTGGAATTTTAGATGGAATTTGATGATTCCAACGGCTATATTTCCAACGGCTTTTGACCGTTGGAATTTTTATTTCCACCACCGTTGGAAAATCTACTGTTGGAATCGTCAAAATTCAACGCAAATTCCAATGAA